GCCATACTAATAGTTTATCTGTTATGTCTTGTTATAAAACAAGAGCGAAGCAATACACTAAGGCGATCGAATACGAAAAGCTCGGGCAGCCAGTCGACGTCCTATCTCTAGCTCGACTCCTCGAGGCTTGGTACGAGAAATCCGGCTTGTGCTCTCGGTGGCGGCTTATATACCATACTGCGGAACGCGTATCAATTCTTGTATCTATAACAGTTGATCTTATTCTCATAAGATACTGTTCCTTCATCTGTGTCTTACATCTTGTTCTCATAATATAGCTCTTTCCCGTGCGTTCCCATGCACATGCGCTTATACCACCGAAAATTGCGCGTCAAACTGGTACACCGGCTTATGAATCGCAACACTGGTCGGTATTCAGATTTGCAAGGTTTTTTTGTTTTCTAAAATAGATTTGCAGGCCACGAATTCTAGCTCAAAAAGTGCTTAAAAAATCCATTCTTTCGCAAAAACGACGCCAAAGAAGAATGATGGCGTTTGAAGTCGATTTAAGTGTTACCTAAAAATTGAAGAGATTTTTGTTTAGGAATATAGCTCACACTGTTTAGTGCACTTATAACAATTACCAAGCCGTAGTGAATTCAGAAAATGATTTATATTTTCTTTTGTTCTTTCGCTCTCAAAATCACCGACCTTACATGGGGAAGCTTGGAGAATGAGCAGTTCAGTCCGTTTGTGATGTTCAGCAATGCGTGGCGAGTTTCAAGTCATTGTGATGCAATCAAGAGAAAAGACGGATAGTAGAGCCACTGTGAACCTCTGCGAAGCTGAGGTGACGCACTGGCTACAGATAAACGCATTGATAGATATGGCGCTCTAATCACATGCCCGCCAAGGCGTCCTTTGACCTGACGACAATTGTTGCTTTGTTGTTGTTTTTGTTTCAAATTGCTGTTGTTGTTGTTTTCTTGCTAGTTTCTACTAAAAATATGCAAAATCAAGTGGGGCTTCGCTTTGAAAAATCCATCAAACCAACGCATGCCGGGCCCTGTCGCAAAGCGTGCTTTTGTCCTCAAAAAAATGGCATGTGTATTGCATATGTGTATATTGTGTGTTGAACAGTTTGTGAACTGATATGAACCAAAGTCCCACACATACTCTCCGGACAAAACGATAGTATATATTACCACGACCAAATTGAGTTACCGCGATTAGCATAGCAAGCAGTGCAATAAAGTGGATTTCCGCCGCAATGGTGTCTCTAGAAAAAACGGTATTGTCAGCCTTAATTATAGAAGAAAAATGAGAAAAAGCTCGTCTCGGATTTTTGTACTTTTACACCTAACACCGGAACATGTTTACTGCTGTGTAAAAACGACCACGTATGAGTAAGTCTTATTGCTAGTCTATAAACTCTCAGTATATGTCAAGCTTAATCTAGCCTATAGTGGATGGTTCGTAGAAGTGTGCAACTTTAGAGGCTAAGCGCCCAGAGATTTACGTCGTTCACGCAAGGCGCGAATTTGTGTGTCGCAAGTCACTACACTTTTCCCCTGCACTCTGCCGCTTTATTTCTTTGCTCCTCTTCCAGTCATGACTATTCTCGATGGTTGCGACAGCAATACTCTCCAAGCATAGCGCGGACGGTCTTTAGTGCCTTTGCGCCGATGAGAGCTCAACGACATCCGCTGATGTCCAAACACCCGAAAAATGTGCGACATGCGCCCGCGATTGACCCAGCAAGCCCTCTAAACGCGACCAAATATATGATTTCTAGGTTTTGGATTTGGTTTTGGACACCTGTTTTCATTTTTTCGACCTCCCGTGAAGGTCATAACCTACCAGAATTTCTTTCCTTTTTGTCGTGATGCCTACCCACCTTTGCGAGATTGGGAACCCATACGCTTCTATGATCCAAACAAGTTTGACAGCAGTCGTCCGAGACAATCGAAAACCGTGTCACTGTTAACCATAAGCGAGAGACGATAACCAGCTCTAAACGCTGAGAGTAGTCCAGCACTGCGGCTTATCTCACTCGAGTAATGTTGCTTACAGTGTGGAAGAATTGTGAAGCTCAGCAAGGCCCGTGCTCACCAGACCGATTCCGTTGGATTTTTGCGTAGAAGAGCCGGAGCCTACCCGGATATAATGTGCACGGCGCTCAAGGTCCGCAGCTTTACCAAGATAAGATATGGGCAGTGTCCGATAAGGGCCGGGATTTGCCCGATGTAGAAAGTTTGTTGAGGCCCGGGGCTTGATGCGTGCTTCCAGTAAGGCTTGGAGTCCGCCCAAGTGTTCCTTTTCCGTGCCGCATTGTTCCGCCAAAACATTCACAGCACGCGGCTTATGGCTGCGGGTGTTCGCTATGGTTGTCTAATTATTTGTTTACATCGCATTTAGCGGGTGCATTATACTTGGGTAATTCGAAAATTTTCCATCGAATGAATGAATATCGAATAAATTCCAAAAGGAAAAATTTCGAATAAACAAATATCGAATAAATTCGAAAATAAAAAATCTCGAATGAATGAATTCCGAATAAATTCGGAAAATCAAAAATATCGAATGAATGAATATCGAATATATTCGAACAGTGGAAGTCGAATTTCGAATAAATATTCGAATAATTCATCGAATAATTAGAGCAACCATATCTCAAAATTGCCGACCTATCTGGCCAAACCGATCCATTCACAATCAGCACCCTCGTATCCCCACCAACTCCTAGCTCAAAATTTTCCAAAAATCGCTTAAATCGATAAAATAGATTTCGGTTTTAATCAGCATTCTCATTTACCCTCCCCCTGTACCAACTCCCAACCTCGTAGCTCAAGATTTTCCAAACATCGACAAAATCAATAAAGTAAATTTTAATTCATAATCAGCACCCTAATTTACCCCCTTGTACCAACTCCCAGCCCCATAGCTCAAACTTCTCCAAAAATCGATAAAGTGTTCACCTAGTCGAGCTGTTCGGATTCATAGCGCTAGGTGTGCGAACTTTTGAAGCAGTAACGGTGGCCACATGTGTACTTAAACGCCACAAATGCTACGATACATTGCCTGTTCATCGGAGACTTTCGTCTTGTGTGGTATAAGCTAGTCGTGGACGAAGGCATGTGGTTTATTCCGCGAAGCGAGCACGAATGCCCCTATAGCCCCGGGCATACTGCAGGTATTTCAGTGGCGACGTGGTTTGGTTTTTTTCAAATTGTCCAAAACTTATTTTCAAAGTACAGAATGCAGGGCATTTATTTTTTTGGTGAGTTGTACACGCTAAACATTTGTTGTAAGCTGGCGTTACATTTGAAGACATCTCGTAACTGGCAAATCGCGTACGGCAATCTAAACCGTCTAATCCTTCACTATAACTGCAATGTCCTTTACTCAAAATACACCAATTCGCAAAAAATTTCTAAGGTAGCGAATAGAGGCAGTTGTGCAATTAACTTATGCAAGCAAGAGCGCGCACTAATGTGGGCATTGCGTACCGCAAGCATGAGCAATGCAAAGAAAGAAGAACAGGCATTTCAAAACACTTTCAAAATATGAACTTGGAACATGAGCTTGAATTTGATAGCTCCTTTGCTGATTTGGTGCCAATAGTAGTGCGAGTAATCACATTAATCGAAAAAGCATTGATTAAAATCCACATATGATTTTTTCACTGTCATGCAATCGGAAGAATGCGACCCTCCCTACAGTACAAAGGCCATAACGGTTGCAAAAGATGCATTACCGAGTTTTGCGAAAAAATAACGCGGACGAAGTGAGCTTGATACTCAGCAGTTGGCTCTGTAACAAATTGAGATCTCAATTATTCGTAACAAAGTCGAATAATCTGAATACGGAGTTCATTCGAATACGAATTCGAATAAACATTCGAATAAAATCTATTCGAAATCCCGTTTTTCAATTATTCGAGTTTTCGAATTTTATTCGAATCCACGTTTTTTGATTATTCGAGTTTTCGAATTTTATTCGAAACTCTGTTTTTTGATTATTCGAGTTTCGAATTTTATTCGAAACCCCGTTTTCTCAATTATTCGAGTTTCGAATATTATTTGAAAATGGAAGAACTCCGAATATCGAATTTCGAATACGAATACATTCGAATGTTTTATTCGAATGATCGAATTTCTATTCGATTCGGACCCAAGTATAGGGTGCATGTCGGGTCACTCGTGGTTCTAATCGCGCATTTGTCGAGTGCTTGAAGGGAATCCGTGGGTGGTGATTGGCTTTTATTGGCACAACCGCGGATCCTCGGACGCCCAACGCGCATGTTTCGTTCACCCGCGGTCCTTTGGTCGCGAAGTCTTCTGGCCTGTTTGGGCTGGTCTAGTTATAAAAAAATCCCCTGCGGCTTATCCACTTGAAGATAGGGGTACTTTAAATCTGCATGGTTCCATCTACTGGTTGGTGGTCGGGATTGGCCGGGCTTGCAAGCTAGTAAATTTGAAAAGAAATTATTCAAATGACCTGTGCGATGAAACTAGCACTGTTAAGCGCAAAGTTTCATTGTCGTAGCTAAATTAATTAGATCATCTTCATAAATGTTCACCTTTTATACGCGGTCTTTCGCTTGCATACAGTCTACTGAATCTGAAGATAGATGTAGTGTCCCTGCGGTGCCAACATCTGTCGGCAACGTTTGAGCGTGAGCGAGTTGCTACACACGTGATGCCGATAAATTGCGCATGTAAAATGGCCTTAGAGAGCATAATTCTGAACTCTGCAGTGGCAAGTTAACAAGCGACCGCTGTCGACAAACATCTACGCCGAATGACCATATCTAACGACAAAGCTATTAGACTGTAGTTGTTGCCATATTTTGAAAATCTTTGCTACGTATTTCACTAATTCAGAAGTTGACTACGAACACATTGCCAGATCGAACTTGTTTGATCAGTTGATCAAGTTGGCATCTTGCACATATTATAGCGCAAATGACACCTTCAAGATAATGAGTCATTTCCATGATTGTTATCGCGAATGGAGCTTAGCTCATTTGTAGCGTGTTTCATTCAGCAATCCCCATCCATCACTGTGCGCTCCCATATGGCTCCCTCTAAAAATGCAGGTCATGTGCAGTTCGATCCTCACGACAACATGGTGAGCTTAGTGAAGGCAGCGTTCAATCTCGATCGTCTGAATACAGGAATACATCGTCCCTACTTGGAATCAAAGTCCAATACCAACCCTGTCATCTAGTGGCGCATCACATTCTTCGTAAGCTCTTGAAATTTCACTGCATGAGTAGTCATACAATTTGCAGGAGATATTTCGATGAAATTGCTCTTTTAAAACGTGGTAAAATCACTCGCGAAACACCAAAGCATACTTATAGACGGTTCGGGGGAAACATTGTACCTTCTATAAAGTAAGTTTATCACATGCTGCGGATGGTCTTCGTCGTAAACTATCAGAGTCGATCTACATCTGCAGTGCAATATCAGATATACAATACCAATGCGTCACCTCTGCTTCGCAGAGGTTCGCACTGGCTCTACTATCTATGTGCCTTATTCATTCTCGTAAAATCGTGGCAGTGGAACTCACCGCACTATGCCGACTACCACGAATAAAATGTAAACAACCACTCATTTAGAAAATCTTTTCACGTGAGATCGGTGATTTCGAGTGGATGAAACTTTTCGCAGGAAGACAAACGCAAATTTGATTAGGTTTTTGGGTTTGTCATGACTTGGTAGTCGCCATAAAGGTAACGATAACCGTGAGCTACATCTCTGTGCGAAAATCTTCTCAAACGCTTAGCTAGAACCTTGGCAAATTGACCATTTACACAACCAATTCGTTATGGCGCCGTTTTCGTTATGTAGTACACTTTCGACCACTTTTCTGGCTAAACACCATCGCTTGCACATTTGCTTACCAAACTCATCCACGACTCTGCAAAAAGTGGTGATACGGACCGATTTTTGCGGTACAGAAGCCAGGTGGACCCGTTTGGTGCGCAAATTCTGAGGGATCCAATCAACGAATCTACTCGTGCTTTTGCATGTTGGACTTTCACGAAGGTAGCATGCGCTATACAAAATTTGGGCTTAGAACGTTGGCTGGAACACGCTCCACGAATTTCGTAACAGACAGACACACACACACAAAGTCACGTAAACATCCTTAGCCCGTTATTATAAGTCACTGCACGACGAAGGCGCAATAACTTCGGCCGCTAACGCGGCTTTATTAGTCGCAGAGCGCATGTGGCGCAGGGTTTACAACAGTAATGACCCGCGCGCGCCGTGTTCGCGCCCGCTCAACTTATACTGCTTCTGCGCCTTCGTTATGCAGTAGCCTTTAGAACTACCTACTAATTTAGGTCTTTAGACTTTCACATGCACACGCAAGCATTTTTTTGTCTATTTTCTTCAAATTGAGCAGTCGATTCTCAAATCCATAATAACAATCAAAAATGAATAGTGCCAAATGGAACAGTATTGCAAGGTTTTTGAGAACGGACAATGATAAGTAGGCGATAAGTATTATTTGCTGTCACAAAGTCTGAGCTAAAAGGAAGTAATGTTTGCTACTTTGACATGCATAACCAGTGCGCCACCTCTGCTTTGCAGGGGTTCGCACTGGTACTACTCAGGCACTCGCACCGGCCGGTGACCGTCCGACTACCGGCCGGTGGGGGTGGTGTCAATTTCACTCAGCCGTGTAGTCTACGACCACCGGCCGGTATTCGGACGGCCGCCGGCCGGAAGGTACGGCCGCCAGCCGGTATGTGGGGGTACTAGCGCCTCAAAATGGCTCGAGAGCGCGCTTTTTCTTCTCCTTCGGTCACCGATCGATACAGAATTGATCCTAGCTACGCACGGCCGTCAGCCGGTATGTGGGAGTAGCTAGCGCCTCAAAATGGCTATAGGGCGCGCTTTTTCTCCTCCTTCGGTCACCGACCCATACAGAACTGAACCTAGCTATGGATGATAAGCAGCAAACGTGCTGCTCTTTTTGTCGTTATTTGTCTCATTTATCGTAAATCATTATTCCTGCATAGAAAGCATGTACACTAAAGTTTATTGTACTCTTGAAATGAATACAAAAAGCTTTGAAGACAAAAAATTGCACTGCAATTGCAAATTGCATTGGTTATATCTGGCAAAAGAAGCCATCCTAACAAATAAGGAACAGAATGAGGAAGAGACTCGACCCTGAGATGAAATGTCACTGAAGAAACAAAGAGAATCATCGCCAAGCAGATCCTGCAATGCGATTAGAACCGGTATTGGAATGAAAGCACATAATAAGAACAAAGCATGGCACAGCGCCAAGCTATTTAGAAACTCAAACAAACAACAACAAAACTAAAAAGAGAGTACATACCACTGAAGAAAAACAGACACAATTCGTACCTGAATTGTACAGAAAAAAGGAAAACATAGACATGACGTGATTACATCAAAAAAAACACAAAAAGCTTGTACAAATACACTACAAGAGAAGAATGCAATTGGTACATGACTGACGCTGCCGACAAAATGAAGAAACATCACTTGATGACTGACGCTGCTTGAAAACCGTTTTCGCCTTGCTCTTCTCCCTCAGAGGCATCGGACACGTGTGCTCGTTTGCATTTTCTCTGGAAAAGGGTGATCACTTTTGGAAAAATGGTTAATGTATGAAAACTTACACTGCTGGGTATGAACTTCTCTTCTTCGTAGTCGTATCGGCAGTTTCTAACGTCGCGTCTAAAAGAATGTATACAGCATCCATGAGGTATTGACGTAAAAATACTCACAATGCAATTTGCAAAGCTTTGAATAGTTCGGATTGAAAGAAAAGCTTCTCCGATAACCGTTCCCCCGATCTCGCATCCTCGCCCCCATATCCGATCAAGTCCGTGGCAAAATCTGCAATGTACCAGTATATCGGGTGACATAACAGTGGTGACCTCCCCCGCCCAGTGTTCCACTGGGCGGGGGAGGTTCTTTAATGCCTTATTTCTCCCTCCTTTTCCGTGCTTTCGAACTGAGAATTCTCGGATTCTATACGGTGGATCAGTTACCTAAAGAAAATGAATAGCAATATTCACCGGTCAATTGAGCTTACTTGCTGCAGCAGGAAACGATAGAAGCAGATGAATTTTTGAGAAACAGTCTCCGTGTCTCTTCCAGCGAAATCGTAGCCAAGCACCAGGTCATTAAGACAAACCTCAACGCGATGCCACTTAGACATGAAAGAGTTACAGCAAGCCCCTACTTTGGCGAAGGGTGAAGGCGCATCTAATGTCCATTCTTTGGTGCAGTTCCTGAGTGTCATTGCCAACAACTTCGGTGGTTGATCGCCTCGCCCACACAATTCTAGCTGCCTTGTCAATTTCTCTACCTTCGCCGCGAGCATATCGCCCTAAATCAATGGTGAAAAATTGGGTAAGAAGGTTGCGTATAATACCTGGAGCTGTGACGCGATCAACCTTAATTCTAATGAGCTTCCAGTTAATCCGCTTAGACCGTCAGAACAGTAAGAAATAACGCGGAAAGTCGTTTCGGAATTGATGAATTCCTAGAAGTGCGAAGTAGCGACAAAGATGGGAATATGATAGAAAATGCAACCTCATAGGCGCCCTGGTTGAACTCGTTCCGTTCTTTTTGACGTAAAACAAGCTGTGCAGCCTCCTTGAGACTGAACACTCCCTTGGAGATGCATTCATAAAGAGACCTTGGTTGGGGGGGAGGGGCCGCACGTGGCATGTCGGAGTGGAATTCTGGCCGGTGATAGATGTTGTCTGTACTCATCAAAGTGTTCATTTTCATGGGGGTGCAAATTGGAAACAGACGCACCACTGGCATGCTCTTCCTCTCTTTCTATCGATGGGACGTTTTCTTCTGCGTGGCGAAGCGGCCGCGGCGCGCGGCGTGACTCCTGACATGGAGCCAAGACTAACGACGTCAATCAGCGAGAGAAGCGAGCAATGAAATGAGAATGCAAAATGAGCGTCTGACTTGAAACCGTGGTGGTTAGCATGTTGGCAACATGTAACAAGCCAGAAAGTGCAGCACGTCTTATTGCATTTGCAAACATGTTGCTGGATGTTGCCAATATATTAGCCACCACTATGGAGCGGCTGCCGGCCGCTATGACCTTTGGAACGGTCGCCGGCCGGTATAATTTTTTGGGACGGTTACCGGCCGGCATTTAGCTCCGCCCACATTTATGGAACGGCCGCCGGCCGGAAGGCCGTCGTCAGACGGTCGCCGGCCGGTGCGAGTGTCTGAGTACTATTATATGCATTACCCATTCTCGTGTAATGATAGCATTGAAACTCACCGCGCAAGCTGATTATCACGGATGAATTCCAAATGGCTACTCATTCCGAAAGCTTTCTCATGTGAGATCGGTGATTTCGCGTGGATGACTTTCGTAGAAGGATAAATGCAAATTTGAAAACTTTTTGGAGCTTTTATAGCATTGGTAGCCATAAGGTCAACAATCGTTGTAAGCTACATCCATACCTTTGATACACAGAGCCATGTACTCTAGTAAACTTCACTTTGAGCGTCAAGATAGAACATAACCTTCACATGGAGAAAAGAAAACCGTTCGGGACGAAGCCCCGGTTATTATGAAATAACTTTGAAGGAGTGAATGTGAATGAGGCAAATATAGTGAGCGATAATTGAAAAAAAAAACGCTTGGAAAGCAAAAAAAAAATGCTTTTTTGCAGCTCTTTCGCTGTAAAGAAGGTTTCTAACCGAAAATTCCCCTAGAAATTAGGACGATAATTATCAGTAGACCTTTACATATTGCGACTGAGTGTTAGAAGTTCACGAAAGCTATTGAAGTTCAATGAAAACGAGAAACTGCGCTTAGATATTGAGAGAATCGCCACTAAAAAGCTGTATCTCGTCATGGAGTGATTTTCAGAATCCGCGACATTGTGCTCCTGGTTGTCATGAGGAACACAATGATATATAACGTTACAAGGTTTCGTTGAGACTCCGCCGAGATCCTGGCTCTTTTCTATGACCAGAGTCAAATGCCCCGTCGGCTCTGGTCAGTCTCCGCTGTTCATCTGCGTCTCCAAGCGTTGCGCGCTGTCTCGCTACCCCAAACTCGGGGCACAGGGCATTTGGCTCTGGTACCCTTTTCCTCTTTGGTCTCAATTTAATTATAACAAACTGTACACCATATTGAAGCTCTCGAGCTCTACTTTCACGCTGACAACGTCGCTAAACTCCATTTTCTGATTTGAACGAGAAATCTTCAAAAACTGTGTTTCCAAGAATCCTTCGATTTTTCTTCTGTTCAGTTCTTTTCAAGCGCTTTTTTGTGCATTTCATAGAACTTGCTTCCGTTCATAATGTAGATAATGTCGCGGGACTAACTTCTTCAAATGTGGTAAAATACCTAGCACAAAGCTGCAAAAAGCGCGTTTTTGTTCATACGCCTTCATTGGAGTTAGTAAGCAACCTTTCTTACACGCTTGAAAGCATTTTGCTCAGAATCATGAGCACAACAAAGCTGACAACGTCGCCAAGAACACAGCCCACGAGAAAGGCTAAAAATTCAAAGGAAGCATCAAAAACAGGTTGTCTTGGACGTGCATTCGACTTGAAAAAACAAGACTTTACGTTTCCATAACCAAATGTTTTTCATTAAATTTCTTCTTGGTAATCACCACTTCCAAAATATGTTCGTTTTCAAAACAATCACAAGGAAGAAACTAGCTTCTCTACTTTTTCCCCCGTGCTGTGACTGCTTGGTCCTATAGCGAAAATCTGCTGCAAATTGCCGCCAAATGAAAAATTTCGAACTGATTGCCGCGTTTTACCATGTTTTCAAAAGCTTCTTCTGCTTTCATTAATTGCTTTGCATCTTCTTCTCTTCTTTGATTTCCTACAAACAACTTTCACTTTTTATGGGGGGCAGATACTCAAGCAATCTTCACATGTGGCTCTTAGACGTATCTCTTAGACGCTCTATCGAAGGTATGGCTACATCAGATCTTCTTAAAAGCTTAGGTAATGCCCTGACAAATCGACACTTAAGCAAATAATGCTTTTTGGCTCCCTTTATTCAAGTATTAGATTTTTTCACTTGTTGGGCTAAGGTCCATAACTTGCGCATTTGCTTGTCAAAGATATCCACGACTTTATGAAGTTGTGGTACTCTTACCACAATTTCGTAAAGTCGTGGATACATAGGAGCTCCACATAGGATTTCAACAAGGGATCTTTGCCTCGACAGCTGGCACCACCTTCCCTTCCGAGTTGGTGAAATTTTCCAAGATGGCACGGAGAACGCATAAATTGAAATCATTTCATGGAAGACATGGGTCAGCTACCTTTGCTGCATGAGCGGTAACAATGGCTTTGCGCACCTGAAAATTCTTTTTGAATGTGGTTTGTCAAAATGTAAGCACACACCGTCTCTTGCAACACCTCAACGCCACCAAATCTAATCAGGGTCAAGCGTGGGATGCGGCACGCCGCGCCTGGGGGGTCGTATTGAGGAGTCAAAAGGGGAGGGGGTCGTAGTTGGGTAATCTGCTAATAGTGATAACATGATATTCGTATCATATCCATAATTAGCATGTCAATTAACCCCTGTAGACAAAGTTTGAGCGAATTCTGAAGATTCAAGATACTAGGCTACCTAAATGAAATGGTCAAATTCCAACATGGTTAACTTTGTTTCAAAGGTGAATTAGCTATTTGTTTTTGCACTCAAGACAAAGCACTACTCCTTCGTTATCCACCTCAGGTATCCCGCTTCAGAAGACCTGCAAACTGTGGAATTAGAAGCCAACCAAAATCTCGTTTTTCCCATTTTTCGCTTTTGATCGCTGTGCTTTCACCAAATATTACTTAGAGCTAAGAAGACAAATCAGGCTCCAAACAGTCCTATGGAATCTACAAGGTTTAGGCTATCGATTCATATAAATTACCCGCTAAAAATGTTTTTTTTATATAGTTAATGGGGTGCGGCACACCCCCTTAAAAGCTGCGGCTGCCGCAGCTTGGAGGTCTTTTGAAGCGGGATTTCTGAGATGGACAAAGAAGGACAAAATCCAGAAAGCGCTCCATTGCTGGTATGAGTATTGAGCACATAGCTTCATCTTGCTACAGTGGAAATGTTAGCCGAACGCCCCACCTATAAGAAAATTATGGCCCTTTCAATATGGCCTTTGCCCATTCAGATCAAAATCAGCCGTCAAATTACGTGTGATTGTAAAGTACAGTTACAGAAAATCGGGCGTAGAGCTCTCAGAAATCTGAGAACTCTCTAGAAAAAGATGAAAAATGACCCCTTTTTCCTCTTCTTAACCTCTGAAGCTCAAAGTGTGACATTCTGGAGGACAACATCTTGAGCGTAGAGCTCTCAGAAATCTGAAAACTCTCTAGAAAAAGATGTTTGTCCTCCAGAATGTCACACTTTGAGGTTCAGAGGTTAAGAAGAGGAAGAAGGGGTCATTTGAGGGCTTTCATGGGAGGGGGGGGGGTTCGAAGACTTGTGCTTGACGTCTTTCTCAACTCTGTTAATGCTATCTTAGGTATATAATTCAGGGGGGGGGGGGTCTTATTAAGACAGCAATCAGGAAGGGGGGGTCGTAACCAGCGATCGTGTGCCACACCCCTTGCTTGACCCTGAATCTAATACTTCCCGGAGCGCCTGTACCTAAGATTGTACGTGCCAAATTGAATTTTATTGGCCTCTCTGTTTCATAACCCTTACTTGAATTTCCGAAAACACTGAATTTCCGGTTCAAAATTGCGATGAAAGAAGCAAGAGGTTGCATAAAGACGAAGCCGACACTTGCACGACTTATGGAAGAGGAGAACGAAAAATGCAAGGACGGACTTGAAACTGGAAGCATCTGGTTCAGATTTCTCGATGACATTTCTGCGCAGATGCGGCTCCGAAAATCCCTCATAACTCCTCATCCAAGCCCGCAGCAGATAGCGAAGGCAGGTTTGGAATCAGCGTTCCAAGATCGTCAAGTAGTATAAAATCATCTTGAAAAGCCACTTCGACCTACCTTCCTTCCCTTATCAGGTTTACAGTATGGAGCGAATCACCAATCACTATTCATTACAGTGGGATTACGATATGAAGTTTCAGCGCTACTGTGGAATAGGCCGTTTGATTGAAAATATTCCATAAAATCCGGAAATTTGTGTAACAAGGTTTTCAGGCGTGCTGATTTCACTACACAACTTTTTACCAGTTTTTCGAACCCTTTTAATGGTGTAATCAAAGTTCTGACGAATACCGGAAAAAGTGTTACCCTAATCCTGAACTAACTTATAAAAAACATTGCAGTGAAGACAACTTTTATATTCAGAATCAGCGACTTCGATCAGTACAGTACAAGAGCTTCTGGCTTGTTTGGTTCTCCAGAGGCACAGATCGCTTTCAAGTCCCTAAAATTTTTTTTCCAAGTTCATAACGTAATCCTATAATGAAGAGAAGCTGGTGATTCCATACTATAAATCCAAGTTGAATCTCGCTCTATGAAATGGTATCTCATGCTCAGCGAAAGACCAAGGCAAGAAAGTTATTAACGATCCAACAGTGTGCACATTTTTTGGGACACCCTGTATATAAAGCTGCATGCTTGTTTGTCCCTCTGTTTGTATGCCTGTCTGTCTGTCTGCACGTATGTTCCGAACAGAATTTTCCATTTTTCCAGACCAAACTTTGCACCATATACTTCGGACGGGATGGGTGTCTTAGGTCACTTTTCGTCAATCGATTTCGATTCTATCGATTTTTTGCAAAGTTTGAGCCACTTGGGAGTTGGCAGAGGGCGGTAATTGAGCATGCTGATACGAACATACTATTTACAGGGCCGAGTGGAGCCGGGTTTGCCAGCTAGTGCAGCGTAATAAAACGTGCTTTGTGAAGCAAAGATGATTTGCAATTTTGATCAAGTGAAATTCAATTAGACGATGTTTGTCAATAACTTTGAACTTTCATGCTTATAGCATCACCTCCGGTGTTCATCCCAACCGCTGTCGCGTTAATGAGTCAAGGCATTAGATAGATTGCATTGGAAGTCGCGTTTCTTCAAATTTTTGCTTCTGCAACAAGCAATGCATGACTGCTTGCAGCACTGTCCATTTCTTACAGATTATATGTCTGTGACCAAGAACTGAGAAAATACTGCTTCAACCCACTTTGCTTTTCCCAGCGAATTTCGAAATGTGCAGGTTGTACAAGACGAATCCTTTGAAAACTATGCAACTACTCACCGTTCTAGATGCCCTCCTTTGATTCAGCTTTGCCGTATTTGCCTTACAATCGTTCCGTCATCCACTTTAATTCAAAACTTTCATTGCACGCTTATAATTTAGACCTATCACTATGGCAGAACTGAACAGCCGTGGACTTAGGCTCGATCAAGACCATGTGATTTACAATATTCCAGAAAGGTATAATGCAACTTACTCGATTTTTGTTACATTGATTCATTGTAGCACTATGCAAGCGACAATTCTACATAACGTTTCACCAAAGATGCTTAACGCTGCAACAACATCAAGTCGGAGCTCTGCATTTAGCGTCATAGTTAGTAATCAGTTTTCAAGCTCCTTCATACGACATTTCATCTTTGTGTACTTCAAGAATTTACTCTTTCAGAAATCACCAAAGAAGTCGAGAGAATTTGTTGTAGGAAATCCAACAGAGAACGCGAAGTTACGAATTAGTTCCATAGCACATAAAGGCAAGAGGTAAAATTCATTAAGTAGGCGTCCTTGGAAAATAATGAGTTTTGCTAGCTATGAGCTCAGTGTCGATAACGACGTCTGCATCCTACAGCAAAGTCTAAAAGTATGTTTGCCAAGGTTGTTCATGGAGCAATATCCTCATTTTCAGAATGTTGTACTCATAACTTGGAAAAATTAAATTGCAAAAATCGTACATTGCATTCAGTATCAATAAACAATTCTGAGATTTGTCGCAAACTTTGACATCGCATAGCTGAATTCATCAATGTTATTCCGAGGTTATTCCCGAGCTCTTACAATAGAATTGAAGCCGGGCTGCTGATTATGCGCCTTTCTAGACGCGTTCTTGACAGCAGTGATGATCATTTCGCCCTAAACGCCATTAGCCGCCATAAATTAGTCGCGAAATAAAATTTCAGCTGAGGATATTTTCAAGCAGAATCCTATCTGAAATTAATAGGTCGCGAAAAATGACCGCGAAGCGCGAAAAATTCTCGCGCATCAGCAGCTGCGATTGATACGCATCAAAGAGTGACTATAACATCGGATACTCATGAATGGACGCTTGGGAAACAAAATATAAGAGTTTAGTGACTGCGACGCCAAACCCATCCCTCTGCGTCTCTTGAACAACCTATATATATAAAACCTCAAAGTCCCTTTGTTTGTTAATAAGTGTGTTTTTATACAAATCTTTTGAGGGGACCAAATGAGCTGAAACTTTGCTGACTTATGTTTTCGATCCCGGCGCAGAATGCTCTTTTCGCGGCGATTTACTGGACCTTGCTATTGATTTATTGTCGTTTACTTACATCTGAGAATAAAGCTGAGCATGCTCTAACAAATCATTTTGCCATAATCATGTAATCAGGGCGGTAACCATTTTGATCTCAATGTCGGGAAGATACGGCAACTCGTTTCAAAGCGCTACGCGCATAGAGAAAATGTTCAAAGGCGTAAGTCACGTCTTATTAGTTAAACTGGAGTCTCGAGTGGGACGGATCAGATGCTTGTAGAGTTATGGAAGTTGATAATAAACTCAGCTGAAGATAACTTTGAAAGGAGACGCTTTCATTTTCTACACCGTGCGAACCAGATCCTTGTAGAGTTATGAATTTTTGAAACAAAAAACTTGCTGCATACTAATCAACAAGAAAATAATGTCATTCTCCATGCTCTAGCAAAACAACCGGGCTTAATCCAAGAAAGGTCAAGGGGTACTGTTTGATAGAGCAAATGAAGCTCTACAAGGTGTCTCAAGAACTATGAGTTGTAAATGCCCAAAAATTGAAAAGCGTCTCTTCGTCCAAAACATTTTAGGGGACCTCCCACCTACATACAATCTATACTCTCGATAATCAGATTTTCATATGCGCAGTTGCTCTATTTTTCCCTTGACTAAAAACCGAAAAAAAGAAAAATTTCCGTGGTTTTTTTTTCAAAGCAAAGCTGAGCCGCTCTCACAAGCGAATCTGTACTACAAGCTTAGGAAAGTATAACCTGTAGTTTCGGCCTATCTCAGCTGTATTTTTCGAAAAATGTCAAATTTGACACTGAAACTGAGGAGAGAAAAGCTAAATTTGATTTTTCTCGATAACTGCTGCTCGGAATAGGCTGAAAATTTACAGTTATACCCATCTAGGCTTAGTTTAGAATTACTTATGCGAGAGCTTATTGCTTTGTAAAAAGCAGAAAATTTTTACCCTCTCATTAGTCAGGGAGAAATTACAGCAATTGCTCATATGGATGTCCGATATTAAAAACAAAGACGTATGCGATTGGGAGGTTCCTAAAAATTATTTGGACGGAGATCCGATTACTTCCGGTTCTTTGGCCCTTGTAGAGCTTGCTTTGCTTTATCGAACTTTACCCCTAACTCTTTCTTGGGTAAGAACGTTTGTTTTGCTAAAACAAGCAGATAAAACAACATTATTTCCTTGACAGCCTAATATTAGTGCAGACCATTCATCCTTTTAGCACACGCCATACCTGATCCGCTAAATCCACTTCATCGATCTTGCTATCGGTCAGCGCACTGGTTTGACCAATAGCGAAATGGATGAAGTAGATCGAGTGGATCGAGTAAGCTAAACAAATTTTTTTGTCCTCAGTCACCGAATCATAAAAAAATTCACGGCGTTGATCAGGGAGTTCTGATATATACCTGCTTTCTTTCCTTCTTTATTTCAAAGTCATACGTCGCATTGAGATCAGGTCGTATTGAGATCATCTCGCTAAAAAATGATGTTCCAAAAAAGCGCGCAGAACTCTATAAAGTTAGCTTCGGTGGCGGTCCTAACATTTCCGACTTGCTCGAGAACTTTTACAAGGCAAATTTCAGTTTTTGAGAAATCAGTTATTTTTTGACTGTTTACGAATGTACAAGTGGCTTGCACATTTTCATAATACTTATGTATTAGATCGGTCCAAACGTTTGTCAGTTTTCAAAACGATGCTCAAATCCAGTAAAGTAAAAATAACCACTGTCTCCAATGCGGAATTTTGCTCTTTCCACCGTCATACTCCAATATGATTCGTTACGAGAGTGCTGAGATAATCGTTGGAAACATCCCTTCGTTTTCACAACGTCCAACTTCCGCTATTTTTCGAAATTATAATTTGAGACTTTTGGGGAAAAAGCTTTATTAGTAGCATTAAAGGCAAACCTTTTGCCAACAGAAGCAGTTATTCTTCTTTGTTATCTACTTTTTTATCTACATCTTTAGATATTCGCCCAACTTTCCGGGAGTCTTAAGCTTTGAAAAAATCGCCTAACCTTTTCTTGCACCATGAGAAGACTTCAGTATGCTGATCGACATCGATTATTACTACTACTAACCGAGGGTAAATAGGCGAATTTCGCTCCAATGCATGAAGATTTTGAAACTAGGTGAACAATACCGTTCATAATGCGTCATTAAAAGTCGTCCCCCACTGCAGCACACTCTGTTGCGAAGTGCAACAGAGTGTGCTGCAGTGCGACGGAGTGCATTGGAGTGCGGCGGAAAGCAGAGCAGAGCCGACATCCACGCATTGCCATTTCTCGGTTCAAGATGAACGAATTCCGACCAAATATCGTTCGACTCAGCTCCAGAGATGCATCCTTTGATATACGGAAGTAACTCAGTCTATCAGGGCACCGTGGATATACAATAAGCACTGAAATTTCACCAATTCCATCAATTTTTTGCTGAGATGGGTAACTCACCATGCTGAAAACAACTTTACATTGATTTGTCGTCAGTGATATATTTAGTATACTAAATGAGTAAGGTAAGGAGTTTCTTTGCTCAAAAATTCCTTTGTCCCGCTTTTTACCGCGTGCGACAGAACCTTCGCGTGGTTTCTTTTTGAAGCTGCGAAAAGCATTTCAAAGAAACTTCGCTGCAAGGCAAAGGAGGACATGAGACGATTAAAAAACAAACAATATCGAAAAACGAAATTTCTCCCTGTTCGGTTATAATAGTTAGAAATACTGCAGGGGTATCAAAACCACGAAAATCACGGCTACTTTTCAGTTCATGAGATTTATTTGATGCGCTGAACAAGAATATCGTGTTAACTTTGTAAGCAAGCGCAATCTTTCAATGTTATAGTGGGTACTTGGTTGACGGATCGGATCAAAACTCAAATCTGCTCAAAAGTATAGCGCGTTACCCGGTTATCGCTCAAAAAGCTCTAAAGTTGCTTTTGAACACAGTAGAGATCACTGTAATCAGAATGCTGTAGAGTTTTCCCATCAAAGTCTTGAGCAGATTTGAGATTCTTACTCATCTACTACATAATATCCTCAACAACCCAGAAGCTTTTGTGCGAAAAAAGTGTGATATTTGTACTCATCTTGTCAGATAACCCCAAAGGACAAAGTTTGAAAAAAACCCACTGCTTTGAGAATTCGGGCCTCACTTTTGTGATAGGCAGCTTTCGCTTTTATTATCAGACTGGCGCAAAAGTAATGCGCGTTTTGCGAGTTCTCAATTTGACACATACCTTCGATAGTCTAGAGACAGGGCCAAAAGTGAAGGTTGTTTGAACATCTGATTACATGAAAACTGAAGGTTGTTTGAAGAAGATCAGAGAAGAGAAAATGACGTAAAACAGATATAAAAAGCAAAAGAAACTGCTAACCGGATAAAACGCTGCAATGAGGTTTGAAATCTTTCATTTGGCGGCTTTTCGAAGTGCAAGTTTTCGCTCCAGGACCAGCAATTCGCAACACGGGGAAAGCGGAGATGAGCTAATTTCTTTTTTGTGATTGTTTAAAAAAACATGTTTTGGAAGAAGTGGTTATCAAGAAGAAGATAAATAAGAAAGAAATTTGTTATGAAGACGCAAAGTCTCTTTTTTACTAAGTGGAAAAGAACGTCAAAGCCAGATTTGATTGTTGATGCGTCCTTTAAATTTCACCCCCGCATTGACGTTCCTGTCTCCTGAGACGTTGTCTGGATTGTTGCGTTTACTGTTCTGAGCAACAATCGCTCAAGCTGGAAAAAAATCGCTGCGAAAGCACTGAAACACAACACGGTAACGAAAAACGCACTTTTTACGGTTTTTCACAAAAAATATGACCATAATCGAAGAGATAAGGGTTGGGTGGTTGCCTGCATTATGAGCAGAAGCAAGGTCAGAATGCATGAAAAACCGCGTGAAAGGAGTTAAGCTAAGAGAAAAACAAGAGATTTTCGAAAACAAGGTTTTTACCAGAATTCTCGATCAAATCACTAAATGTGGTTTTGGGACGATCAGCGTGAAAATAGAGATCACGAACTTCAAAATGATGTATAGTTTGCTAAAATTTGGTTCGAAACAGTGAAGAAAAAAGTACCAGGCCAAATGCCCCCCGCGCCTCGCGTTTGGGGTGTCGAGGTAGCGCGCAGCGCGTGGAGACGCAGACGAGCAGCGGAGACAGACCAGAGCCGACGGGGCATTTGGCTCTGGTCGTAGATGTCCGCGGAGTTTCAACGAAACCCTGCAACATTATATATCATTCTGATCGTCATAACACGACGATGAGAAATGACAATCCCAAAACTTTTGAAAATCACTATTTAACGAAATAAACCAGCGTTTTCGTGCGCGACTCTCTGCGCAAAATTTAGCCACAATTTCTCGTTTTTATTCAACTCCAACAACCTTCCTAAACCTCTGAAACTCGTTTTGGTCAAATAAGATAGCCGAGAAGTTGTGCTGAATTTTGGCGAAAATTTTAAGAATCCTTTTTAACGTAAAAAAGGCTGTGAAAGCGCAAATGTTCGGTATCGATGAGATAACCTAAAGATACTATTCCCTACATTTGCTTCATCAACATTCGTTCCGATATAGTCAGGATAATAACATCTGGGGCTTCGCCCCGGAAGATTTCTGTTTTTTCCAGGTGAAGGTTGTGTCCCCTCATAGCCTTCAAGCTGACTGTTACCAGAGTAAGTGGCTCTATGTATCGAGTGTATGAAAGAACAGGCCGAAAAATATGGATTATTAAGTAAAAAAGTTTTTTCCGAAACCTCATTTTAAATTGATCATAAGTCCCATCAAGAACTTTTAGTGTAAGTAAGTTTTTGTAGCTGCAGGCCAGTAGCACAAAAAAGGTGGAAAGGGCTCAAACAAAGATTTGCGAAAAGGAAAAATTCAAATCCAAAATTGTCCGCTTTCTGCAACAATTTTTTCCTGGGGCCTACAGAGGGTAGTCGAGCATGCTGATTACGAATACGAAATTAGTTTTCAAAATTATCCTTACTTTTATCGATTTTTTGCAAAGTTTGAGCTACGGGGTGGGGGGTTGGCACGGGGGGTAATTGAGCATGCTGATTACGAATACGAAGTTAGTTTTCAGAATCATCCATACTTTTATCGATTTTATCGTTTTTTTTGGCAAAGGGGCTGGGGATCGGCACAGGGGGGAGGGGGTAAGTGAGCATGCTGATTGCTAACACAGCAGGAATAGCGAATTGGCATGTAGAAATGGGCACACGGAAAATTTGTACAGAGATAGGGATTGGACTTTTATAGTGTTTGACAGGGCCGGTGGAGCCGGGTAAGCCAGCTAGTTCTAGATAATTTCTAAGACAATGGAGTGCATATAATGTAGACTACTTATTACATAGATTAGCCAGATTTTCAAAAAAAAACTTCATTTGCGCCTAAGTCCTAGCCAGAAAAGTAAATGCGAAGAAATTGTGGTTCGAGTGCAGTTATGTGCAGCGTTATAAATTTTTAACGAACGAGGCAAGAAGCCAGTTTCAACCACCATTGCATAGAGCATGAGAAGATTCCTGATATGGTCGTCCTCACCCCACTAGTCGGTCGGTGGTCGAATTTGAATTCGAACTGGGGCAGGGCAACCGCGGCAGAGCGCGGCAGACGCCGCCCCTCAGCCAACCACTTGCACGAGCTTTCTTATTTTCTTCGCGTTTCTTTGCTATATCTCGTATTGCGGCAGTGTTCTTAATCGGATTTTCAGATTTCGTACTGCTAACTCTTGAAACAAACATTTTTCGTGAGAATTTCGGCCTTAACGCAAAAAATAGTCTAGAGTACACATTCTAACCATAAACCTGACACAGTTCATCAAATCAGATTCGTGTATATGTCACTTACCGGAAAAGAGATTTGTCATCGAAAAGCTCCAATCGCATCGTTCTCCCCGACTCGCCTGGAAAAAAATGTAAAAACGAGCACAACTGCACAAAACAATAGTTAGCGGTACAAAATCTAAAAATCTGATTAAAAACATTGCCGCAATACGAGAGATAGCAAAGAAACACGAAGAAAATAAGAGAAAAGCTCATGCGCAAGCGGTTGGCTGAGAGGCGGCCTGCCGCGCTCTGCCGCGGCCGGCCTGCTCCGGTTCAAATTCAAATTCGACCACCGACCGACTAGTGGGGTGACGACGACTATAGTATGCTAAGGCTCATGAAAAAAACCTTTGCTGGAAAAAAGTTGTTCTGAAACAAGGGAAGAAAAACGCTCAAAACTTTTGCAATACTAATACAATATGTAGAACCATGACTTTAAATGATGAACGGTGTGAAAGTACGTGTAAGAGAGGTGTCAAATACAGCACTTAACAGCTCAAACGATCGCTGGGGGAAAGCGGATAGCATACTCACGCTTTTTGGGCGGTCTGCAGAATTTCGGGGCGTGGCCTTGTTTAGGTGTTTCTTTACTGTTCAAAATGCTGGAGAATAAAAGATAGAAAGAGAGGATGTACATTTGAAACAAACATACTATGTTCACAAAGAAACTATAAAACTATTGCGAATTATGTAGCTACCATGCACCATCGCGAGTCTAAATTTGAAAAAAAGGGGACGTTGGCAGCAAGCTCGTTTCTCAGCAGGCAGACGCATTCCAAATTTTTATAGGTTGCCGCTCAGATAATCGCTGAGAGCACAGCTGACCGCATACTCGCGCTTGCTTGCAGGCGGTTAGCAGAATTTTGGAGCCTGGCCAAACATTGAACGAGCGATAATTCCTCCACTGTCTCATGTCCTGCCAGCGTGCAGCAATACAGAATTTTCTGTGAGCGGTCGTCATATATCTCCTTTCAGTGAGTGTTGATCAAATTTTCGCGAGCGCTCTGAATCTTGATATGCAGTTTCGGGCAACTCCGTGCAAGTTAGCATTCTATATGGCAGAGGTGTCATCGTTGGATTTAATCACCCGAATTTGGGGTACTATTTCTCAGCAGAGGGCTTCAAAAAGGACCGTGTGGCCCTTAAAAACTTTGCATATTCTCGCAAAAAGTTTATGACAATGCAGCCACTGCGCCGCAGTTGATCTATGAAAAAGCCGCGCTTTTCTAAGCGTTCGTCTGGAGAGTGGCCAACATTCTTTCGAATATCTGAAAGCGAACCGCAAAAAAATCAGCGAAGTGATTTCCCCATTATACGCGAATTTTACCCGTTTGCCTACAGCATGGCCGCCTACCCCGGCAATTGTCTGAGTAATATTGCTTCTGCGCCTTCGTGCAGTATCCTTTAATTTGAACTGGAATGATAAAAATTACATGTTCACTTTCAGTGTAAAGGTAAAAGTATGTCACTTCCTAGGGCTGCTATGCAACCAAAAATTAAGCTCTTGTACCCCACCTCATACTGTTGATCTGTGGCCGTATTCATCAACGAACCTTGAGGGTTAAACTAACCCTGGAGGGTTAGTTTACCCCTGGAAAGCGGCTAACCCGTATTCATGAAACAAAGGGTAGGCTCAACCCTGAGGGTTAAATCTAACCTTGAGGGTAAATCTTACCCCGAAAGCGATTAACCCGTATTCATCAACGAATCCTGAGGGTTGAACTAACCCTGGAGGGTAGAACTTACGTGATTCATCAGGGTTAATTTAACCCTAGCATAGAGCAAGGTTAACTCTACCCTAACACTTCATACAACATTTATTCGCATCTAATAGTTTTATGGAAAACGATCAACGTGTATTGTAGTATTTAGTATTATGTTGCTGTTATAATATATAGTTTCAACTTCGTTTTATGTTCAAATCCGAAATACATGGAACACTGACTTCGTGAGAAAAAGAATTCTAGCTTTGTTGACAAATGAATGCGACGAGGAAAAATGGTTGCGCATTCCACTCTGACAAGTGCTAAAACTGAAGAACCCCTTTATGATAACACGCACTGACCCCTAAAAGAGTAGCACAAGCCCGGTATAAAACGAATTGCGCAAAAATTTACACGGCGCAATTGTGCACACATGAAAATAAACTCACGTTGTAAGATTGGATGCTGCACAAATACGCTAGAGATGTATCATAGAAACTAGTGTTAGAAGCTTATTCGTTGATCATACTACTATAACAGTGAAAGAATAGAAGTATAAAGTGATTTTAGCACGTACTTAGGCATTGTGTGATGTGAGTTTGCACAGCGCACGCGTAACTGACGCCTTAACCCTCCAGGGTTAGTTTAACCCTCAGGGTTCGTTGATGAATACGGCCACAGGTTCGTTGATCGTTACAGGTGGATTGCGTTTCGTGGTAAGCCCTACCCTATGGTTGATGAATACGGCCAATGAACCCTGAGGGTTAAACTAATCCTGGAGGGTAAGTTTAACCCTCAGGGTTCGTTGATGAGTACGGCCACTGGAGAGAAATATGAAAGGACGCTACAACAATACGAGATGACACTATAAAGACGGCATAATATGTGATTATAAGAGCAACGAGTAAACCGATTTCGAATATATCCTTCGCCTCTGCACACAAGGCTTGTTGTTACCCTTCAATAAATTGTTGGGTGCAGTTACCTACATAACCCGGTTGTTTTATATGTTTACAAAGCTGCGAAAACTTTTTATTGCTGACTTTGAGTAACTTCTTTTCTCATACATCAATGCAAGTAAGTATAGCTTTAGTGCAAAGACCTTTTTTTGCATACAAAAGCTCTCCGAGCCATGACGCAATGGTGGCTTGTCCACTTCTGATAATAATATCCATATTCCGGTTTGACATAAGGATCACTGTACAGCTAAAATAAAACTTGCACAGAATCATCCAAAATGATTAAAACATTGAATCATAAACAAAACGCAGATCAGCAGGGCTCGGCAATGGCAGACTCAGCTTTAGATATACCCTACCCTTAATAGGAACATCTGTGACCGTATTCATCAACGAACCCAATGGGTTCCGAAACTCATTGGGTTCGCGAACCCAGAGGGTTCCGTGGGTTAGACTTACTTGGGTCGCAAGTACCACTGGGTAAGATCGGTATTCACGAGTGCCCCGCTCCTGTTCGCCAATCCGTGATGTCATCAGTGTGCCTCTTCGGTCTGTGTACTATTTTTCTGATCTTTGAAGCACACGGATCGCGCTAAACTAAAAGCGCCAGCAAGCTTGACATGCTTTCGGAAAGTCTTATGTTCGGATGAATGACATGAATCAGTGCCTTTTGTAGGGCAATACTTGCACTTTCTTTGACCTATCTTTTATTCGAGTATTCTCTTTGACTCAGGCATGACTGTTGACAATAATGCATTTGGAAATGGATGCAAAAAAAGAGCTCTGCTCTTTTTGTGCAAGTGATCGTTCTTGTTCAAAGTTGTCTTTTACCTCATAAAGAGATATCAGCCATATTTTTCGAAGATTGCAGGACATAGACATTCACGAATGGCTTCAACAATTGCCATGGTGCAAGGAGTAACTAATTTTCATCCTAGATGCTTTTTGTTGTACATGACAAGTAAATTTATGCCTTTTTCAAACACCTGCATTCAAACCATCATCAGTGGCAAGCTGCATATTTGCAGGAAGCGCTCGAGTCCTTTTATCCATTTGTATTTCTTGTGCGAGGATGCAATGGTGGAGGAATTACGTTCTTCTTTGATTGGAATGTGAAAAGAGATCAGCGACAGAAATCTAATCTCTATGATGTAAACTAGCACGTGATTACCGTGATTGCTGCTTGTCCACTTCCCATTGATTCTTACCCCGCGGGATCAAGGAGCAAACGATTCTGATCATAAACCGCTTTTTTTCATTTTCTTCAAGAATTATTTGACTTGATGATTTACGGAATAAAGGAACATAGACAAACATAGACAACCCAATGCATGAACACGAATGCAGACAAACGCTCTGCTTCCTATATGCTTCCTATGCTTCCTGATACTGTTGCTACAGAGGGAGCCTCATATAGAAAGCAGAGCGTTTGTCTGCATTCGTATTCATGTATTGGGTTGTCTATGTTTGTCTATGTTCCTTTATTCCGTTTTTGATCAAAATCGTTTGCTCCTTGATTCCGTGGGGTAAGAATCAATGGGAAGGGAACAAGCAGCAATCATGGTAATCACGTGCTAGTTTTTTCTGTCGATGATCTCTTTGCATATTCCAATCTAAGAAAAACGTAACGTAAGCAGGAAAATTCTAAAATAGCATGAGCAAACATCGGCAAGTGCTTAAGCTCCTTGCAGTTTGACGAAAATAACTTTCGTTAAAGAGCTTGTTTGCGATTTTACACAGACTGCCAAATCATGACTGGCATCAAGTTTGCTAGTCCTACATCTCAGTGAATCATTTTATCAAAATATCGAACAAAATTTCTATGTTATAAAGAATATGTAAAGGATTCTAATGTATTCTGATGTATATGTGTTGCTAGTAGTGACCACCTCTGCTTATGTGAGTCCACATAATATTCAGCAAAAAGATTCGCATGTAATCTACTGAGGAATTTGTACCATGCTTGCTTCGCTTTTCGCTACCCAGCGCTCAGTGGGTTCTGGAACCCACGAAAACTGAGTAGCTTGTTTCGTAAATGCCGGTATGCTCGCTTTTTGAGTTTGCGAACCTACTGGGTACGTTCGTGAATACCGGTTAAGTGGCTTTTCGTGGTTCCACAACCCAATGGGTTCGTTAGTGAATACGGCCACTAAATTTTTCTTTGAAGCAAGATGCATAGCAGCGTGGACACCGTCCACCCAATATGGGGTCGATGAGCTTGGTGCCTAACAATAGTGGGGATCCCAGCTGTAAACTTGCACAACTTGCGCTGCCAAGTCTTTCGAAGCGAGAAAATTGCATCGAAAATCGCTGCGGATGACGGATTCGCCACGTTCGCTCTCTTCTGACTGGACGTGACGTTGATCATTTCTTCGGAGCTTTGGCAAAGTCATGAGACACGTAACTGCTGCATATACACGAAAGTTTTTGAAGTTTCTGCGAATCGAATCATGATTCACATTAAACATCATTTATGTAGCATAATTTTGATTTACTTCGAAAAAGCAACTTTTTGGAAGTTATGTTACTTTTACGTGGTAAACCTACTTGAAGGCCGTGGATTTTATTAGATAACTAGCTGGCTTACCCGGCTCCGCCGTATGTTCCGAATAGAAAATTCCATTTCTTAACCGATCCGGACCAAACTTGGCACACATACACTTCGGGCCCCGGCGGGTGTCATAGGCTACTTTTCGTCATCGATCGATATCGATTTTATCGATTTTTTGTAAAATTTGAGCTACGGGGCTGGGAGTTGGCACAGGGGGGTAATCGAGAATGCTGATCACCCCCGTGGGGGGTGATCAGCGAAGTAAATCAAAATTATGCTACATAAATGATGTTTAATGTGAATCATGTTTCGATTCGCAGAAACTTCAAAAACTTTCGTGTATATGCAGCAGTTGCGTGTCTCATGACTTTGCCAAAGCTCCGAAGAAATGATTTTTTGTAGCAAAAACTGCAGCTGCGGAAAATATAAAAGTATTACCGTGTAGTCCGAGAATTGCTCTATTTGATCCATACTTAACCCTTTCCGAAACTTTTGTAGTGGGCCTAGCTTGGAGTAGATAAAATTGACGAATGGATTTTGGCACTTATCAAAAAAGCATGCAAGATTGTGGTTCAAAAATGTATCCATAAGAAAACAAGAAAAAGCTGCCTTGAAGGCTTGTCAAAACTCATTCAGGTATATATTGTGCGTGATTTTATAGGTTTGAAAAAACCGATAAAATTTTCGGGACAACCTAATATAATCACCAAGAAATGGAATGTATCCGTACGGATGAAATATATTTTCGTGGTTTCCACGCAACAAAGAGACAGATAAGCCAAAAACGCGGAAATTTCATACCGTGCTTTCGCCGGTTAGCTGCCTTCAATCAACAATGGTCTTGAGAAGCCAAGGATGATTGCTCAGCGATCAGGGCCCGGCACGCGTTGGTTCGAGGTCAAACTGGACTTCGTTTTTGAGGGTGAAAGCAAAGGAAACTTCGTTTTTATGAGGTTCTGGAGGAAGCGCCAAAAAACACGACGAACATGTCAGGTTTTACGGGTTGAACGTGTTCTTTCGCAAGCGCGCGAATTTCAAATGCAAGACTCAAACAAACAAATGGCTTGTTTACAGCGCACAAACAATCAAATGGCTCCGAATTTGGGCTATGTGTATACAATATTACTCCAAACTATGCTATGCAAAAAGTTCCAAAAACTTATGTGTCTGAATACCCGTTCCGGATTTGTTGGTTTCAAAACCAACCACCGAACCAACTGGGTTGGTTCGGAGCATAAATTTCGGAGGGTTCACATAAGTTTTGGACCTTTTTGGTTTGGACGATTAAAGCGCTCAAAAATCTATTATATGGTGAAGAGAGCAAATCAAACCATGGCCTCTGCTCTTTTTACGAGCCAAATATAATATGAAAATAGAGGCTTTGATAGATATTATGCTCCAATCACATGTGTGTACCGGCGCCCTTTGAAGTGGCGCCAATTGCATCATTTCATTTTTTTTTGTCTCGTCATGTGCTCCTCTTCGTTTTCTTCTCTTTCCGTCTCTTTGTGTCTTTTTCTGTCTTCTTCTTTGTTTTTAATATTCTTTCGTTTCAGAAAGTATTCGCAATGGAGGCGAAAGAAGTCAACAACAAGAAAGACGGATGGTACCAAGAGCCAGACAAGGTGGGTTTGAATATTGATTTGATTTTTCATTGTTTGATTTGTTAGCTTAACTCGCTATTCCACATTAGGCCTCGGGCAGAATTTACGCGATTTGGTCGTCGCGATTGAACGCGACATGTAAACTTTGACATTATCATCGCATGCCGATCTTCTTGCATTTCGGTTGTGATAGTTTTCCAGCACGACTAATTGTGACTTACTATCACAACCGAGATACAAGAAGATTGGCGTGCAATGAACTCGTAACACTTGTCTTTAGCGATTGAATCGCGACGACCAAATCGCGTGAAGTCAAGGCTAGTCGAGGTGGCTGAATCAGACTATTTCTGATTTCGCAGTATGGATGTGTGCATCACAACTAGGCTGTGCAACTCTTTTTATGTGGTGTACAAGTGTTTTGTCGATTATGAAATATCATTGATTCAATAGTTTTGGCATTCTTGTTGTTCACAAAACGTTGCCCATAAAACTTGCGCGTAAAAATCACTATAGGCGGGCTCTGGCGAGGTGCCTTTCCGAAAATGCAAAGAAAAAAGGTCAGAAATAGACTGAAAATTGCTTACGAGAAGACATGAAACTAAAAGACGTAAGTTTGAGCAAGAACGGTTGATGAACATAGGACTCAATCATTGTGATGGTCAAACAGCCGATGCACTGTACGAAAACTTTGATGAAAGATCCAAAATTCCTCACTCGCCATGTGTTTCTTATTATTCTTCACGCACCTAATGCTAGTAACGAAGTAACTGATCCATTTCGGAACGTACCGTGCACAAAGAAGTTGTTGAAGCTAAGTTTGCACTTTCTTGTTGTTTCAATCTTGTTTAGTAGCGTGCAAGTGCAGTATTTTCGAAACACGCGGAAATATTGCACAATCTTTCCAGAAGTTTCGAAAATACTGCCCACCCGTGCGAAACATCCATCTTACTGATTGGCTTTCTTGCCCATTAGGTTGGTTCAAGAATTGTAACGGATGAAGAAGGCGATTTTGAGCAGAAATTACTTAGTAACGAAACTAATGGCAAATTTTCAGTATTCTAGTGGTATTTTTTGACTTTTTTTTAGTAATTT